AGTTGCGTTTAGCATATGTTCCACTTTTCTTAAGGACCCATACTTATCACTTGCCTGAACACCTATATTTTAGCTCATCAACTTGTCCGGAGCTTGGCAACAATATTACGTAACGGAAGGACGGGTCGCAAAAGCTTACCCTTCTGTTCTGGATGAGCGGCCGAACTTTAGTCCAACGGTAAGTAATACAGACTGTTTGTGAAGGTTCGATTCGTTACCTACCAACAGATTCTAACAGAATTAGCGCCAATACGCTTCTCTAAATCAAACGCACTTGCCATCCTGTTCATTACACCAGTTTTCTGACGTGGGCCTACGGGGCTTGCATTCTCTGCATTTGGATTCGCCCGCACCAATAAGTCCAGTCTCGTTTCTTTGGACTAACAGTAGAGGGATGCAACAAAACATGCTCGCGACGTCAATGTCGTATCGGTAATGGAGAATTTAGGTACACTTACGCAATTGTTATTGTAGCAAGGAGGACAATTATATGGCGGAAGTCGCAGACAACGTCAAGCGGTAATGACTGTGCAATGAGGCGGTACAATGTTAGTACGTAGGTATAAGCGGGTTAAGGATCAACTGTCCAATCAGGAAGGTCATGTGACCCAATCCAGACGGACAAGGGCAAGGTTACGGGCGTGCCGTGAATGATGAATCATGCAAACAGATCCTTCGCACAAACACACACGTTGTCTTTCTGCGCACACTTTATAAAACACACCACTCACTAATACCTGGTTTGTGGCTTTCACCGCTAACATTGAATATCATGTGTCCGTAATTGTTACAATTGAATTCGTTCCATACTTTTCTGAATTACCTTTTGACTGATCAACATCTCTCCGTATAACAAGTTTTGTGTACATCTGGTGATTGGAAAGTATTAGGCGAGTGATTGTTTATTTGCCAGTTTGGACTTTCTCTTTTAGTGGGTTCTGGCGCTCTTGAAGCCACTAGCGGAGCATGTGTTCGTCGAGTTGACAGGTTTTAGCTCCCTGTGTGTTTATTTCTGCCAGTAGCTTTGCAGTTTTCTTGTGCCAATCGGACTTATCAGTATGCAAGTATACGTGGTTGTACGGCATGTTTATTGAAGCCCCGTAGATGTTTATGGAAGGGGTCATGTTCCATTCATATTTTTTGGATGGAGTTATCGATATTTTGGATGTTTTGAGTCCTTCTTCCTTGGCTGTCTTCATATTCAGGTCCTGTATGCTATCTTGGCTCGTACTATCTTTACAGGGTGCCTTTATGTGAACTTTCTCACTGTACAGGGGGAGCAGCAAAACCATCGGAACTATTTGACCTGTGATGCGATTGCCCCCTATTTAGACGCCATCGAAGATGTAAATTGCCTCCGCGTGAGCTGGTCGCACATCCCTCGTCGACCACAGGTTGAAGAGCCACTTAAGCTAGAAAACGTCAGACCCGTCGCTCTGGTTGGCTTGCCGCCAACCAGCAGACGCACCTCCCTCAACCACCTGAGCAAACCAGTCGCACCGATGCTGTTGCTCGCAGTCTTGTTGCGTTCCGGCACCATCGTCCTATGGGGTGTCAACTTACCACTTACCGGCCCGTGAGTTTCAGTGTGTTTGGAGCACGCCACTTTTCCTTGCCGTTGTTTCGTTCCCCTGACATTGATTCTCCCTTAAACCAATCGTCCGACAGTTGGATTTACAGTTTTCCGGATGTCCACGTGTTCGTTAGCTTCAAAAGTTTTTGTTGAATGCCTCTTTTTTATTTAAAAAAATGTAACAACTATTTAAGGATAAGTGTCACTGTGCTTCAAGGTCTGCCACCTTACTTATTATTGCGTCTGTTTTGTTGACCTTAAATCTGGCTTGGCGAATGGTGAGGAGGTTAGCTCATGGCACGGAGATAATTGTTTTGAATCGCGTTCAGACTATATATGTGTTGCAAGTCCAGATAGAAACAAGATCATTCAAGGAGTAGTGGATTGAAGATTCTCATCGAGAAAAACGGTCTCATTATCGTTTGAAACTTCCGCGAAAATACCCGATTTAATTTGACTAATTGGGATGGACTTTGTCCATTCAGACTTGCAGGATATTTAGACGTCACGTTCATCTCATTGGTAACCACTCAAGTTTGGCTGTATAAATTTCATATAATTTGAACGTCACTTACAGTTTATTGCTGCTTTCGCATTCCCATAGTCTTTTCAGTTGGCCTGTTTCGAAAAGCAGCGTTGTATTATACTCTCGTTAGAACCCGTCCTTAGTACGTATCCTTGCCACGGTCGGGATTTGAACTCCGGTCACGCTTTCGTGAGATAATCATGTTAAGTACTCCGTCATTGACCCCACTTTTGATACGACCAAATTAATTTATGCAAACGCTCAGCCACATTCGCTTGTGTTTCCTTACTGGATGTTCCTATTATTGACATAGGTCACAGGACTTCAGCAATCCGTTGTATGGATCTGTCTGCTCGAATCATGCAGTACACTCAACCTCCTAATTATGTTATGCAATTGATGTGGTGCACACCTGCTTTCAATTTCAACAACTGTCTCATTCAACCCATCATAGCCATGGCATGCTCGTGATTGAACTTTGGACGGCGTATATGTCTCACTTTTCAACTGAATTTCGAATCCGTGTGTTGTATGACACGAATAAGTGATCAGATAGTACACATTAGATGTAACAGGATACACCGTCGTGGACAACATTCTGATGCAAACGGCTGTTTAGAAGAAAAGTGAGCCGACGGCAATAGCGACAGTTTGTCACGTTTCAATGAGAAACCGTTCATGGCGGACAATGTATATATGGCGGAATGTGATATTAAATAACAAAATCTTCAAACGCATGCTAAGATATTGAGAACCGTCAGATACCGAAATGACTATACGTGGATCAGCAGATATTTGTGTATGCTCCATTCTGGTTAACTCTCAACCTGATCCCCAATAGTCGTCAAGTGGATTTACGTATAACTTTTCATGTATGTTTACAAGCTCATCAGACCTGTAACCCAATAGTAGGTAAATGAGTGTGACTCGTTTAGGGGTCGCTAAATTGAGACTAGATGTAGTATCTCATTATTAATGTTAATGTGGAAAATTCCTTGGTATTTGCCGAACAAGAACAATGGACGATAGATAATACATCGAAAAATTAGATTCCAAACTGTAGTTGGTACGGATTTTCAGTTCAAAGTGATAACATAATATTCGTCTCTTTCTGTTAGATCTTTCAAAGTCTCGGTTGTTGTGACACTCCTTCGTGATGCGACTTTCTTTACCGTTGAACAGTAGCACTCGTTCTGTTTTTAATGTGGATGACGAACAAAACTTGGCGTTACTGCGTTAATACCACTGATGAATCTCTTGCAAACATTGTCATTAGGTCTCCCCAAAGTTTGCTTGAAAATTTTTGTATCATGAAAACGTGTTTATAGTTCTTGTCAGCGCTCACTATTGTATATTATATTAATTATATTATTGTATTTATTATATCTTTGTTTATTTATGTTTATATTTGTATTACTATGTTATATGGGCCTATTTCACGAAGTGAAATTCCACGTTTTTTTCTTCTAAAAAAACCTCGTTTCACGTTCGAAGTGGAGAGAACAAGTTTGTCGTTAGGCCGCTTTTATGAGCATTGTGTAAAGAATATTTTCCGACTGGTTGGCTGCCACTATTTTTTATGGATTACTGTTGTGGTGTCAATGAACCATTGAACCTGCTAGGACATGACACTAGTAGTCACAGTGTTATACTTTGTGTCACGATGTGTGAAAACGGTGATCCATTTGTACGGGTACTTTCTTTAAGAAATCAAACCGTCCCTTGTATCAAATTACATATTTGTCTCGCTCCGTAATACATGTGTGGGTTGTAATGGTGACAACCATTTGAAACTCGTCTCCTGGTAGTGTCATGTATTGGTACGCCTTTTGTCAAGCTATTTATTCTCAAAAAATTTACGATTGAGCACAATTCCGGGAGGATCGGAGGTGGTGTAGGAAGCGGACAAAACGTTGATAGCCCGTCGGAAGTAAGGTGTTGGCCGTACTCCACCACAGGAATGGGTGTTCGGCACGTACACCACAAGATAAGTGACATTATATATATATATATATATATATATAGATGTGTATTCATTGACTGTGTTTTAGATAAAGGATACTACCAGAGGACGAATGGTCACAATGCGACGGCTCTACTGCCGATCATGGGGGATGGGTGCAGTCCTGAAACATCGTGCGCAATGGTCAGTAAGCCGCGTACAGTACGCTATTAGAGTACGGTTAGATTAGCTGCACAGTTAACCACAAGGAAAACGCTGTGGGTTCTATAGGTTATCTAACTAGGTATCGCCCTGAGGCTTATTGGAGTCGTAGCAAAACGCTCGTCTAATGAAGTCAGTAGATCCGGGTAGCGGAGACCTCAGATGCATCGAGACCAAGTTCAGTATGGATTTAAAGACCGAAAGTTACGTTTGAATCTGGAACTTTTCCTAAACCATTTAGCTATTTCTTGTAAACACCATTGATTTAGCTGCATAATTTATCTGCTCAGGATTCTTTTTATTATTATATACTACTTGCAAGTAGCCAAATGTTAGTTAAAAATATCACTGATATCCTCTATTGGCAATATTCCCCATTCGCATCCGATTTTTTTAAATGTATGAAATTTGTTGTTTTGACGGTATTTGAGTTTGGAACCATTATGAGAACAACACCAACAGTTAAGCTGTTACGACAACGCTATCTTTTTCTGTAGCATGATGGTTTTGACCATTGATTGATGGCGTCCAAAACGGACTAGCTTGTCACCGCGACCGAAGCCAAATGACGCCTGCGTTTTACCATCACCGCGAGTGGCTCGCGCTGCACGATTAAGGCCAGTGGGCGTGTGAGTGAGGCCTTTGTGTCCAGCCGGCCAATTACAATGAATGTGACCGTGCGCTCACTGGAGTTTTTATGGAAGCAATCTATGCACGTCCACTGTTGGCAAAACCACTGCCCCCGGGGAGGCTCGAACTCCCGACCTCCGCATTATAAGTACGGCGCTCTAACCAACTAAGCTACGGGGGCTTGGGCACCCAGCTTGTCGTTGGTTTAACCAACCTACTTTTGGTAACTAGTTGGCTGGGTCATCGCTTCGGGGAGGCTGATTTTCAAACGCTGGAACGTCCGTTTCTGTGGCGACCTTCAGAGGTTCAGGTTGTATTCCTTTATGCCTAGTACATAAAACCCCATTTGTAACTGAATCATTTACATCTTTCTTTCAGATCCTCTCTATTTCTTGTCTACGTTGATTACTCTTATGCGGTCATGCGGAAGTCTGAACTCCAGTCGGATAAGAAAAAAGCCGTGTTTCTAAAGTTTTGTGACCTTGATGCAACACATGGTAAGTCATTCTTCTTTGTTTAACGCAACTTTTTACGCTTGCTGGACACTAATGCTTCCTTAACATGGTATATTTCCATCAATTTCGGTTGTGTCAGATTGTACGAACCCATATACGTTTGCGGAAGCGGATAGATACCACACGTATCTCACTCGATTTGCATCGGCATGGCATTAAGGCAGTTGAAAAAGTTCTTTCGAACGAAAGTCGCAGTGGCCTAGTTAGCCAAGTGACAAACGATCAAGGGTATGACAACACCAGAAAGCTAAAACGATAACAATGAGTATACGTACCAATGGAAACGAAAGCCGTATTGATGAAAATGCGGCGGATCATAGACAAGTTGCAGCGCGTTGTGCTGAAGTGGTCACCATATACAAAAGTGAATCATTTCACACGCGACGTAGAAAGCAAAACGTTAGACGTCGGAAGGCCGGTAGAAACACGGAGCCTAAATATTCCGGCGTATAATTAATTTATCGATCAAAATTTCAGCAAAAAGTCAGAACAGAGACGGCGCGCGCAAATTCCCGTTTCTTGTTACGGTAACCAGTCAAGTTCAAAATTGATGAATGCACTTTAAACAGAGATACAAATGAAGTTAATAAAAAGCTTTACACACATGTATATGATTTAATTATAAAAGATGGCAGCTAATTGCAAACATCACAAAGTCAACAGCTGACTTATCCAGTTGTTTTCTCATTGTCTGGTTTTAAAACGCAGAGAAAATGTTAGTTCACCGATCGTTAGATGAGAAAATTTCAGAGTACAAATATTACATTTGAAAAAGTTTTACCAGATGTGCTGTGATGAAGTGCATATTCACGACCAAGGCTTCCTACGGAGTTTAAGGTAGAGAATTTATCAAACAGTTTTCCCTATGATTCAGATAAAGACGTCCGTTCAGTTCACCCTAGTCCGCAGATTATCATAGATGCAGCCTAGGTTCACCGTATCCCCAGTAGAAGAGATAAATGACGTAGGTTGCAGTGACCTAGGTAATACATTAGCCATCCTTTGTGGAACAGTCCGAGTGGTAAAGGAAACCCTGTTGTTCCAAAAACAAGACTTATCCGATGACATGATCATTCTTTCTGATTTGCTGATTTTCAAAATTGTATTCATTATTACCCCCTCCCCCCAGTTAGGTTATTTCTCAAACCAACCACGCTGAGACAGAGAAAAGATTGGCACAAAAATCGAGTCGATAAAGTGAAGTGGTGTGCTTGAAAAGTTCGGCTAATGCAGCACGTTAGAAGCTGATAAACCTGCTGAACTCGGCCACATAACAAAGTCGAAAGCATTGAATCAATGTGCAAAATGGAAAGTGCATGCCGCAGATCAATTTGATCAGTCCAATTAGGAACACTGCAAACTGAAGTGTTGTGTTAAATCTTACACATTTTCTGTTTAAGTTTATGCCAGAAATCTGTTTTTCACTCTCGGCATTGTTGGACTTTTTAAAATGAAAATAATGTAGTTTGATGCGTGCTTCAGCAAAAACCTCCATTCAAGGTCAGTAATGGAAATAATAATAATAATAATAATAATAATAATAATAATAATAATAATAATAATAATAATAATGGTATATTTTCTCAACGCATCTGTGAGAAACACGCTGAGAAAGGCCTTGTTTTTCTACTGGTATTCAAAGTGTGTTACTTTGTACGGTTGACTCTCATCTTTATAAATGTGAGTTGAGATGATGTTCGGGCTTGTTTTTGAACATTTCAGATTGAGATCTTGAATATTTTATAGATTCGTGAACTTTCTAACCATACTAATTTTAGACGACTATTCCTGAGCTCATTTTTCAAAATTCTGCAACTAACTATTTCATTTCTTCCTGGTTTTTACTAGCCATTTTAGTGCTCGTCCTTTCTGACGGCTCCGTCGTTGGCGTAGTGTACGATCTTCATTTTTCTTCAGAAGGTTCCTTCTGGATACAGCTAGTAAGTATGCCGTTTGAACACCAGTAGATTAGTTGTATGCGTATTTTACTATAGACTGAATGCCAGTGACTTTATGTTCCTTAATGTGATTTGATTCACCGGCCTTGCCTGTCCACTTTCACCTTCGTTGTTCGTTGTGTTTCTCGAACTACACAGCGAAGTGAGTGAACAGCAGAAGTTTGAAACAAAATAAACCCATAGAATGGTAAAAGTACGAGCACAGTGATGGTCATCTCATGCGTTATGCTTTTAGAGGGATACTTCCCGATCTGGATCTCCTCAGTATTTGGTGTCATAATGGACTACTCAGACAGATTGCCCATTTAAATGTCAACAAGCATTGCGGGTGTACTTCCCGGTCACTTTATGTTGCGTGACTACTTCGTTAATTAGTAACACGAATGATCGTTACGTTGTTTTCGGGATTTTGGCCAAACTGTCTTGTTTGTGTGTATATTTGTATATGTGTATGCATGTGCGTTCGTGCGTCTGATCTATTTTCAGTTCGTTACCATCATTGTTTTCTTTCTCTTCCCTCTTCTGCCTCCTAGTCGCACAAACTATCTTTTTGCACATATCCTATTATGCACACTCCAGTGCTGGCTTGTGCTTGGTCAATGTCCGATGGACTGCTTTGCCTAGGCTACGGCCGCCATCTGCTGGTCTCACAGGTCAAAGTAATTGTCCGCGAGAACACTGTGCGTCGACTGTCCGGAGTGATTGCACCTACCTATCAGGTAGTCTATGACTATCTGACCAAACCGGATGAATCTCACGGCTGTATTACAGGTTAGTGGACATCACGTAATGACTGCTAATTGTTACGTTTGATTCTCACAGTATTCAGTAGTATTTTCTTGTCATGAGCAGATTCGTGTAAACTTAAAGAAACTTTGCAGTGACAGAAGTAGGTGCTCTCATGTGGTGCCTAAAGACAACCAGTGGCAAAAAAGTAGATCGTCCAACGATGATTGTTTTTGTTATTTCTCCAAATCAGTAATGGCGACTTGAAGGTTCACTTTTATTTTCCCAGTTTTTCACATTTAAACTAACTAATTTGGACCGGACGTACTGAACGCATTGCGTTTGAAAGAGCCGGTGTTGTAGCCTTTGAGTTGACTGAAAGCCGTGATTATAGATTAGAGCTAGGTCTTGGTACTTCCTGTTAAATTTTTGGCTCTCCTGACTACCTCATCGCACCACTGGAAACCTAAAGCAAATTGAGTGCCTTAATTCTATAACTATCAAGACATCACGAGGTATTTCATGTCAAATGGTAACAACAGTCTCCTCATTCTCTTTTAATGTAAAAAATCGCTTGTATGTCTTAGTCGCTGTGTTATTTTCTTCAAAAGGTGTTGTTTTTCGTATAGAGATCGCGTTAATTGTAATTCATCCGAAGGTTATGTTAGCCGACATAGGGGCTTTACTCCGCAATCCTCCGTGTTTTGTACATCTCGAGGGATTGGGATTCTAAAGTATCTGTCACAATCCGTGCGTGGAAGACCAGTATGACGTTTACTATGCGGTAATTTCAGAAGTTTTCAAATGTTGTGTTAGCATTAATTCGTCCTATAAAGACGATTTTTCTATTATTCATTTGCGAATACCCCATTCTTTGAGCTGTTCGCTGATTATCAGCCAAGTTCGAACCCGGCCACCGTGAATACTCTGCCATCTACCTTTGAACAACCTACGTGTGACTCAACGTGCCACCTGTCTACACACTGTTTCTGATGTAAAGTCTGATAAACACATTGAAAACCACTCATTCCTTTCGTTATCGTCACGTTGATCCACGTAGGAGTTCGTCCACCCCTTTTCATCTATGCTGAAGCAGTTTTTGAGCGAAAGCACTGTGGCAATAGACCACAGAAACGGTTAGGGTGATTGTTAAAGCGTTTCGTTACCGTATGCCCGACCCGAGTGATTTTTTGCTTCATTCCACAATTGCAGGCGTTTATCTTGAAGGTAAAGTGGTTTACATCACAACACTTGATGGATATCTTGCAAGGCTGAATTTGGAAAACGCCGAAAAACGTAAGTACTTCTGGTGTAGTTAGTAGTTTGTCTCCATCGATTAAAAAAACTTGTTTTTCTTGTTCATACCTGCCTGTCTTATTTTCCTGCTTCTAACTTTTTCCCTCTCTCTGTTTGTCGGGCTTATGTTCTTGCATTTCAGAGAAGTGTCGTACTTTCTGTACGGTTATTTGCCCATCCCTACAAACTAAGCACCTACAAAAAACCCTGGAAGTTTGTTTTGATTTCAACTCATTCTAGGTGTTCCGTACAGTATATGTTTATTCGCAGATTACGTGTGGCTCGTTACATTTTTGAAGTTGTATCACGCACTCATGGGACATTCTAGTGACATATCTCATAGATATACGAACAAGTCGAAATCGAATCATTCGTTAAGCACATCACATTACTCCCTAAAAGAACTCAGCTGTATGTGTTTCATTACTCTCGTTCTGGTGGGTAAAACCGGTACCGGATATAGCTCCGAGTATGAATTGAATAGCAGCTATGCACGTCGATAATTTGCATGCTGTAGACCATCCACTGATGTTCACTTGAAAGCTACTGTACACGCACAATCAGAAGACGTACCAAAAGCAACGCCTTCTGGGAGGACAATTTTGTTAGTATTTCTATAAAGCTGTAAATGCGCGATAAGTACGAATCAATAACCTAATAGATATAGACATGAGCCCATAGATCTG